AGCCTTAAAAAAGGTGCAGCAAAACCAATCTACCGAAATGTAAGAGATGACATGAGTAGGTGAGTGAAGAAGGCAGCCAGTGTTCAGAGGGAGAAGATGCGATTGTTGGAACACGAATTTCAGATGCACACGCGAACTCATTATCAGCGACAGTCACGGATGGGAGAAATGTAGGCACAGGGAACGCAATTACCATGCAAGTACATGCCTAGTATTTTGCTGGATATAAGCTAAAGAAATTTGGCAGGAGACGATTGTTCGTTGGAAAAAACGTAGGCCTCAAAAAAGGGACAGAAAAACCAGTGAACCAAAGTACAGAAGAGGAGATGACACGGGTAGGCGAGTGGAAAAGGCATTCAATGCTCAGAAGGAGATGGCTTGACTTCTCAGACTCCCACGAGAACTCGTCACCAGAGACGGTTGTGTAACTGTCCTGTAAACACATGCCTAGTATACTGAGCAGCTCGTCTTAATCGGCATGTTAGAATGCACTAAAAGGTTGCCGACTTACAATACTCTCAACAAAAACTAGGAGCCAATGGATACTCGACCAATCCAGTCAACTGACGCATTCATACACAAGACGAGAGGCCATGTTGTCGTCCATAGATTCGCAGCTTTCTAGACAACTTGGCGCAACGCGTCTAGGGTGATCTATACCAACTTTCTTAAAGCCCTGAAAGCTAGAATGAAGTCGAATAAACAAACCTACAGTTGTATCATGCACTGACAAAAACAGAAATGTGCGACTTACACATACTGTACAACTTTGATGAGAGGAGCTGTTCCAACTCGAAGACGCGTTGGGGGAAGACTGTTCGTACCAGATATTCCCCATCAATTTTGGTCCTTTCCTTGTACTGCTGCAGTTTCCAGGACACTTCGTCTGTCTGTAGATAGAGATTCAACCAGGGTCAATAAAACAGCTACGAGACGTCGCCAGCATGAAATAGTCAGCGGCAGCAAAAACATGGTAAAAAGACAAGGAAAATGATGTTTTGCACTCATGAGGTGGAATGTGACAGAATGCACTGTGGCCCTGCACAACAGCCCTCAGTAGGTGATAATGAATGTGCGTTTGGCCTTAGAGACGGTAAAAGAGGCTAAAAACAATGATGTAGTGCTGTTATCTATCAAGTAAGAACTTAAAAACGAAGTTAACACAGAGGAATTGCAGCCATCGTTTGCTCTCATTTTGAAATTCGGCTCCACATTCAGCGCAGATGGATTAGAATTGGGGAAGCACGATTATGCAAACAGGTCACGTATATGACGCAGAAAATTCTGCTAACATCAGTAAAGTAACAAAAAGATTAGATTGGGTTGGTCAACGGTGTACATGGAAAAGCTGGCGACAGACTATGGGCGTGTGAGATCATGCCAGTCAACAATGGATTGCAGCGGAAACTTCTCCAATAGCTCACATAGCCACAACGGACCCCTAAATTACCCATGGTCTAATCCGAAAGCAGGCCCTTTCTGTTTTTCACTCGGCCCGTTTGCAGAAGACGAACAGAGAAACAGTCTCAATCAAAGGTTATGTAAAATAAACAGACCTTCAGATCTGACAGATAAGATGTCAGAGAAAGTAAAGTGAGATCACTTGCAGGTCGAAAATCGATCAAAATCGGTCAAACATAAAGGAATTGCACGGCCTGGCAGTATTATGACATGGCAAACTGCCAACATAGATGCAAAAAGGTGAGCTCAAGGAAGAAGTTGAGGAGGTTCAACAGCTGTAGAAAGGCTTGAAAGCCAATGCGACAGATACAGCGGAAGTAGTGGATTTTAGCCACAACTACGTAATCAGTCGCAAATGAAATTGCCAAAGGGTACTCTAGTAGCATCTTTAGACGAGATGCAAGATGTTCATGAGCAACGGCTACCCAGAAAACCTCGAAAATAAAGTACACACAAAGGCGGGACGAAAGGAAAATCGCAGCGGACCTACATTTTGGCGAAAGTGCCTTGACATCAAAACGACTCGGGAGCTATCAGCCGAATTCTTAAGTCACTAAGAGTAGCATCTAAAAACAGAGTAGAGGCGATCGTCCGGCAAAAGGTAATAGGGCCGAAAAGCCTGAAACGATGGCAAAAAACCTGGAATCGCTATAGGTCTGATGCTATTACTGGCAAGACAATCAGACCGGGGTGTGTGATCAGATGTTTAGACAGAGGTCCAATTAGGTGTTGGTATCCCACCACAACTTGAATTTTAAAAGATTGACAACCCCTGGTAAAAGAACTTCAAGTCACATTCTAAACCACGGATACTTATGACCGAAGTATAATTATTAAGATCAGCTGATCATTGCAATGAGTAAAGCAAACGGAGAGTAGCTGTAAAGTCAAAATCTGTCCTTTAAGCGACCGTAGATCAGAGAATGGTTTAGTAAAGGATATGTAGTCAGAAACAAACCATTTCGTGCGTAATGAAGAGTATAGGGAATTCGTAATTGACTGTGATCTGCGCGATCAAGAGATCGATGTTTATAAAGCAAGCATTTACAAGGCCAGTTTTAATAATGCAAATTAGTAAGTTAAAACTCAAGTCTTTTTATTTCTTGTTTTCTACAAAATTGTTTAACATAAAAACATACTAAAAATATAAATTCAGTGTAATGATGACTCAATTTTACTTGATTTCTCATGACAATGCTGCAACGTCTCACGAATTATTCAGGTCTGCTTGAATGAAGTGAGACTGACCGTGCGATTTGGGATGTAGACGGTGTAAATGCGCGTCAATAAAAATAACCAGTTCCCTTACTTCCTTACCACTGACTCCTTCCCGCAATTCTTGGCGACGACCACCTTCCCCTTTCTATCTACGTCGACACCTCCCCCGGTCCTCACTTGAACTTGCCCAAAGCGATCCGTATCCCTCCGATTGTTTGACAGGCATACCAGTGTCGTCTATCCATACTGAAAGGTCGCCCATTTGCTACAACTCATCTTATTTGTACGATTACCCGTCGCCGTATATTCCCAATTTGCATCTGCTCCTATTATGCCTTTTTGCCCAAGTAATTGTTCTACTTTTTCTCATGGGTGAGTATTCTTACACGTTTACAACTTCATTCTTTTAAGTCTTACACAGGATTTGTTCGCAATGCTTCACGAACTCGGTATGTGCTATCCTTTTCGGCAAATTACGACGCCGAAGTTGAATATTTGGACTCAGTTGACGTCCGAGGTCCATTAAATGCGTCAGAGAATTAATCGGGAAACGAACAGGACGCTCCAGCTATGGCTTTCTATTTTCTAACAGCGTTGTTGCTGAACAGGAACTACCTGTGATTTTTTCTGACTAGACAGTGCGAGTGTGTGTTCTGAGTGCCAACATAATCAGGACAAATCTTTTATTGGATGGAGAAGACAGATGGCACCGAATGCGGGGTTTAATGTATACAGAACCCGGAGTTGTCCTCTTAGACAACAGTGGCTGCTGACGAAGCCAGGGCTGGCGTTGACTGCGCTCAGTCATACTTGAGAGTACCAGAAACAGTGATAGCAGCCGCTCTTGTAGGCTCGTGGGCCAAGCTCAAGGGCTGTGCAGTCAATACGTGTTGCACTTGCCGATGGGTGGTGTCCCAGTGGCTTAGGTTATGGTTACAGGGGTAGAGGTGAGTTTAGCTGGTCTCATGGGTAGCTGCGGCCGTGCGAACGCAGGTTTGCCCGATCTGTCGGTCGTGTGACTCCAGGTCAGCGCGTCTGGAAAGGCTCACTGCAAGGAATGGATGACCTTGAGGTAGCGAGGTCTTGGACAATGACGCCAGGCCGGTCATGACGGCATCCCGCTACAGACTCTACCTTTATGTATCGAAATCATTAGTGAAGTCTGTGCATAATTATATTTAGTAAGCATCCATAATTTTTATAAATTGCCTTCACTCTTCTTTTGGGCTGATACCCAATAAGATCGGGATGGCAACAGTTTGCCGACAAATCGACAGGAACTTCTATACACTTCCTCTTTACTCAGTTACCACGCAGCCGAATAAATTAATACTGTAAGCCTTCCCATCCTCTCCATACACTATAAGATTTCCCTTCATACGCCACTGTGAGGCCTTACCGCATATTACGGTAATGGGCATGATGTCAATTACTAGAGAAGGCACATTCATCCAAACTGACCTAATGACTGCCCTTAGTCAGTTTATGTGCTTTTTGAAAACAAAAGCATGGATTGCGTTCAGATTGTTTCTCAACCGTCTACGCTTGTGTCTCCTGAATTCTTTCGACATGTTCATTTTATTATTACTGTCTCCCAACAAGCCAAATATGTATGTCCTCACTCCAGTGACTGTTTACTGTATAAATTGTTGACTACCGAAATGACTTTGAGAACTATTTCCTTTCGAGTTCGTGCAGCGTACTGAAACTGTCCCAAGTACCCTGTGCAGTCGTCGGTAAGGAAACCAGGAAATGCCATTAAAGTCAGTAATATAAAGCAATCATTTGGTCTCTCCAAAGATACTCTAGCTTAAAAAAAGACTCCGTGAGCAAGTCATATGTGTGCCGACTGGGATTCTGGTTCCTGGGGTGCTGGTAGAAATAATTAGAATAACCAGACAATCAGAGGTTGGCACATTCAAGTGCATATTCCGACTCAGCAAATTCGTTACCATTGCTATTATTAAGGTTTGTGTTAAGGCTTCATGTTGTTTGATTTATTTTCCCAATTTTTTATACACAGTGGAGGAGAGAATGACCTTCAATAGAAGCGAAGAGACGAGTCCCAGGAAGCAGTCTTGAAAAAGAAGACACGATCACCGGGACACGAGCTTTATTAGCCCAAAGTTTCGGATTCCTACTCGAGTCCATCATCAGAGACATAAGCAGATAAGGGTGGTTCATGCACATGCGGCTGCAGTATTTAAAGAATGCAGTAGCCATGCTTCCGCATACCTATGAATATTCACGCCCCCCCCTTCATCAAGCCTCCGGTTAACACAGATTTGGCGAGACGAGCAGTATTTCAACATGGCAGAGGGATGATCCGAGTGCTCCTCCAAGATTGCCACGCGAGATTTCGCAAGAACCGTCAAAGGATTGACCAAGAAAAGGCCAGATGCTGTGAGTTCATGGGCGAGATCGGCACAAATCTGTTCCTGGAGAGGATAGCTGAACAAGTCCGCGAACAGAGAAGGATACGCGACGCAGCACTGGAGAACAAACTCCAAAAGCTGCTTAATCCAACGACGCCCAGAAACGACAAACTGGTGCACAACCTGTCATCAAAGGAGCTGACGAAGGATCAGATGCAGGTTTTAAGGCGCGAAGCTTCATTCAATACGACAGACGCCAAACCTGTTAACAGGATTGCAGCAGTGGAATCGATCCTTAGTCAGACGGAGGCAACGGAGGAGACCAAGAGCCTCATCCGACACCAAGTGTCGTCGCTCCTGATAACCCACAGGCCGCGGGAAGTGCTTTCCGAGGTCGAACTTAATGCGCTTAGAGAACTCCAGGCCGACAAAGACTTGGTCTTCGTGCCAGCGGACAAAAGACGCGCCACAGTTGGGCTGGACAGGACAGACTACCTTCAAAAAACCAAACGTTTACTGGAGGACCGACAGTTCTATGTCCCATGTGCAACGAACCCTGTAAAAACGCTGACACGCGAAATTAATGCTACGTTGTTGGCCTTGGAGAACTCAGGTGCGATAACACCGACAGACAGACGCATGGCGAAACCCCAAGATACGGTTTTGGCCCGATTCTATGGCCTCCCTAAGGTGCACAAAGACGGCGCTCCTTTCCGACCCATCGTGTCGCTCAAAGGGACTCCAACGTACGGACTGGCTAAGTGGCTGTTCCGGCGTCTCCAGTTCCTGCACGCTGAGTCAGACACCACGGTCTCTTCATCAGCTGAATTCCTGGAGAAACTCAAGGGGTAAGCCTCCATCCAAATGAGGTCATGGTATCTTTGATGTTACATGCAAGTGTAAATCTATTCCCCAGGACCCGGCGATCGAGACAATCGAGCTGTTTCTACAAAGCAAATACGATGAAATGAAGAATCGTCTTGGACACGCCCAAGTCCTTCAGTTCCGGACGTTCTGCCACAAGACGTACTTCACGTTCTACGGGACAATATACGAACAGGTGAAGGGCACAGCAATGGGTTCGCCGATTTCGGGATTTATCGCCGAGGCGGTCCTGCAACGGTTAGAGTCGCTGGTCTTCCAACACAACAAACCGAAGTTCTGGGCTCGGTATGTGGATGATACCTTCGTCGTTATTGATTGGGATCAACTGCTGACATTCAAGGAACGTTTGAATGCGGTCTTCCCGGACATACAATTTACGATGGAGGAGGAAGAGAACAACCAGCTGGCCTTCCTGGATGTCCTCGTATGCCACAAGGATTGTGGTGGACTAAAGCTAAAGTGTTCAGGAAAGAGACAAATACGATGCAAGTACTGAACTTCAACAGCAACCACCAAATCAGTCACAAACGCAGTTATGCAAGGACGCTGTATCGGCGTGTCAAAACTCACTGCAGTGAGCCGGAAGACAAGATTGCTGAACTACAACACCTCCGACGGGTCTTCAAAGCCAATGGCTACTCGCGCAACTTTATAAACCGATGCATACGCAAATGGACGAAAGGCCTAACCGTATGAACACCAAAGTTTGGCGAGCGCTTCCATATGTCAAGAACGTTTCGGAAGCTGTTGGTCGCCTTCTGGCACTACATGGGGTTGGAGTTGCACAAAGACCGGAGGCAAACATCAGGCGTCAGTTAATGAAGCCGAAAGACCCACTGTCACTGCAAAACTCCTCTGGAGTCGTTTAGCGGATCTGGTCCAGTTGCGGACAGAGCAACTACGTCGGAGTAACCGGAAGACAACTCCAATCGCGAATGGCCGAACACGCTGCAGCAGTGCGGAGAAATGACGTCAGCTCTCAAGTTGCTTTTCATTCGACGAGTTCCGGCCACACATTCAAATTTGACGAGGCGAAAATTCTCGCAAGAGGTGAAAACCGCGTGAGCCGGGAGCTGCTTGAGTCATGGTTTACTGGCCCCCAGTTTATTAACAAGTGCAATAATCTTCCCATCCAATATTCCGTGCTGAGACTTTGCCGAGGCGGAGTAATTGGCCACGCGAGGAGCGCACAGGTGAACACTCTTCCCAACACCCGGGTCAGCGCGTCAGATGGTCGAGCAATCATCACAACAACATCCAACGCATGCAATGAAATTGCAGCAATTAACGCCGCGAATGTCGGCCATCAAGCCACGTACAACGATCCCTTAAGAAGGGGAGGGAGGCGTGAACATTCATAGGTATGCAGTGGTATGGCGACTGCATCCTATAAATACTGCAGCCGCATGTGCATGAACCACCCGTATCTGCTGTTTTCTCTGATGATGGATTTGAGCAGGAATCCGAAACGTCAGGCTAATAAAGCTTTTGTCCCGGCGATCGGGTCTTCTTCTTCTTCTTCTTCTTCTTCTTCTTTTTCTTCAAGAATGACCTTCAATTAGCAAGGGGGACGGATGGTGGCTTATACACAGGCCTAATGTGATAAAGTCACAGAGTATTTGAACTTTAACAGCATTCAACCTATTGCATACAGGCCAGCATGACCGATGACTTCATGCACAGGAGTATACATGCATTGCGGTATGTCATAGGCTGAACCCGATCCAACTGGCTATACCAGCGCCTAGTTCCTGAACAGCCCTCACTTTAGTAGTTTCGCCAAGCGGTGTCTGCGGACTGCCATATAAACACTAAACACCGGCACCGGGATTATGATAGGCTTCGTCTTGCCTGAGTGACATCTGCTGGGTTGCAGAACTCATCCTGGAGGACATGGAGTTCAGCAGCCTATGAGCGTACGCACTTATGTGGAACTCAATGAGTTTCCGGTTAACTCTGCTTTATAAATATTTCCGATTCATGTGCTAAATAGAAATTTGGAATTTGTCGGCACATTTTCCTCAATTAAACTGGACTGAGCTGAATCGAACCCAATGTCACAATTCGGCACAACTTTGTGCGGAACAATAAGTCGTCACTTGATGAATGGGACGCGGACACCGATTTACGAATTGTGTTGGCCAATCAGACGGTTAATTACTGACCTAAACGCTAGAATACGGGACTTAATTACACTATTCCTATGCACCAGCGTTCAATATGTTGTTTCTGTCATGTGAAAGTCAACTATGGATGTTGACTGGATAAGTTCGTGAAGTACCAGTGGAATGGATCAAGGTTAAATGTCCGAGACGTGTTGTTATGGAATCCACCTCGAAATTATAATGAACAGTTTAGTTGGTTGGTATGCTTGAAGCATGAAAAAACCACCGCCTTATGAAATTATGCTTTTAAAAGTGTCACTTATTTATAAAAATTGATATTGCCCTATTTCTTCAAAGGTCAATTAGCGACACATGACGCCGTCACGAAGGGTTCTCTTTCTTAGCGAGCCAGGGAAGGCTGATGCTGCGGGGTACTACGGTACGAATCATTAACACTACTTTCAGATAAATATTTTTACAGGTCAGAATTTAATGTCTGACAGGACTGTTTGAATGATAGTAAGAGTAAATGTGCGGCAAACGTTACATGGCGACAACGCGGACAGGCAGCCGGGACAATACCGAGAAAAGAATGAGTGACACCTGTCGCTGCATCCTTGCCCTAATCAGATGCCTCTTTGTGTGAAACGCGAGACCCCTCGACAAGGTCCTGTACGCGTGGTGTGTCAGAGACCGGGCTTTGGGTGAGGAGCGTAAACGAGCCGTTTGAATTCGTCGATCCGTCGTCCACGAAAACCTCTGGCCAGTTTCCCGTCGTTTTTGGCACCGAAACACGATGGCCAAGGAAGGCAAGAGTGAGACGGATGCGGGGCAAGTCTGCTTAACTATAAAAAGATCGCGCAAAAGACATGGCTGGCCCACCTCGGAGATGACTGTTGCATCCTTCCGCTTGGGGCGGCTTGTTCACCGGCGGTAGATTTAGTAAGGTAATATTGTCACTAGTAAAAGAGGGGGAAGAAGAAGCAGGGGGGAAGAGTAGCCGAGGTATTAGAGTAAGAGAAGCAGCAATAGTATGGGGAATATTTACATCAGTAACAACAGTAAGGGGTCGACAAATAGCAAATTGTTTGGAAACGAAGTCAATTTCCTGTGTGGACAGCCATCTAAAGTCGCATCCATGCAGGGTACTGTTTGAAATAATTAACGACGGCCTCCTCCGCTTAATGCGATCTGCAGTACTAACAGTCAAAGCATACTTTGATCCATTTTGAGCCAAACAGCAGTCCATGGGCCCTTTAAGACGGTACTCATGGCGCCACCGTCCGGTTTGTCAGGCAGAAGACTGACGAGAGCAAGGACACCTCCGAGCATAAAAGGCCTCCGGTCGAACACGGCAGTCTTGATTTCTCACAGTGATGCTTATGGTCTCGCGCCAAATCCCAGAGGGATTGATATTTCCGTAGTTGAACTTTAATTCTATTCGTCAAAGCCCTCACTCTTTAAACCCCAACCTGAACCGCAACCCTAACCCTAGTCCCCCTAACTTTAATTCTAACCGTAACTCTTCTGGCCCTAGCTCTAACCATAACCCGAACGAAAACATTAATCCTTACGCTCCCTACACCAACCCTAACCACAGGCCTAGTCCTTACCCTTCTGGTCCTGACCCTAACCCTTCTAACCGTGACCCTTACCACTACTCCAATCCTAACTCTAGATGCAAAAATAACATTGACCTCAAAACTAACCATAATACTAACGCCAACGCCCCCAGGAAGTTAGGGCAAGGCCACCTGTAATTTAGGAAAGGATCCACGCTTCCAGGCACAATCTCGCCGCGGAATGTAATTAAACAAGTGATGACGTCTGTGCATCAAGTATGAAGTTCCAAAAACCTACTTTTATTCACCGAAATAAGATAACAGGGCGCGACCAGTTGGGAGAGCCCTTGCGAAGAGAGGAAAAAATAAACTGTGCGATATCAGTCATAACTAATGGTTATTTATGAGTCCTGAGATGCACTGCAGTGCTGTCCTGCATAATTACTTCTGCTCGGGGGACATTTACGGTTGACAGTGAGGATTTGTCATGTCAGCTGGGGCTAATGGCTTTCATGCGTTTGAATCACTGCCTAGTGTACTAATACTTGAAATGAAAATCAATCTTTATTTGTATTAGTGGCTTTAAAATAATTCCCCGGTTATTGGAGAGTGAACTAAATGCGTGCACTACTGACCTTCATAACGTTTCTTGCCGCCAGAAATATCTGCTACACACGGATTTACTTTTGCATGGACATGTGCACAGCGTTCAGAGAAGTCGCCATAAAATTGGACGTGTGAATACTTGAACCAATGTCCATCGGTTACAGCAGAATAACTGTGAAATATGCATTGGACTGCTAAGTGGTACAGTACTTCGGGGTAAAATGATTGTGCACTAACAGCACAAGTGTTAGCCAAAAGCCCATACATGTGTGTTTCGCCGATATTCTGCCGCTGCATGACACAGCTGCGAGGGGTTCGGCTCATCAATGGGTCCCCTAGGGGCAGAATTCGTTGTAGCAGATTTGGATAAAAGGTCTCTCCCATGGACGGACAAATCAACCAGCTGAAAATATTGGCTTGACGAATTTTCTACCGAAAATTCCTGTAATGACGTATCACGTGCCCTCCATGAGGTTTTTTGTATGAAATGCGTTATTCTCACTAACCGACCTTGAGCAATGGTTGATTTATACCTTCCTGTCTATGCCTTCCACATTAAACTTAACCAGCGTGTATATTTGTGCGACTTTTGCGCTCGACTGTGTGCGTCTACTGGGTGCTTTCAATGCAATGCGATCCTATACGTTCTGGTCTCAAAAAGCTCCCATTTATTGAATAGGAGGACGACCCACCCAGCCTGATCCAGCTACCGCAGAGAATAACTGTGTCCAGGCGGCCGAGCTGGCACGGATCCTAGATAAGTTGCCGGAAAACCGGTGCTTGTATGCCAACTCAGGTTACTCAAGCTCACGCCTATGAGCCTCCCATGCTTAATTTACAGAATCTAAATGCTCTTGAATTTACTTTAAAAATTTATACTTACTTGCTATGACGAGATACCCAAGGGTCTGTTAATAAAATCGTTTGTTGGTTTTTTTTTTACTAAAAAGAATTGTTTTGTGAAAAATGAGACGCCATCGCTAGAACAAGGACGTTATTCACCCGACCTTTCGGATTCCTGCTTAAAGCCATCACTGGAGGCAATAGCGGATACGGGCAGTTCATGCACAAAGGGCTGCAGTATTTACAGGATGCAGTCGCCATGCTACTGCATACCTACGAATGTTCACGGCTCCTCCCCCCCATCAGGGATCGTTGCACTTGGTGCAATGACTGTTTGGTAGCCGATATTCGCGTCGTTAATTGCCGCAATTTCATCACGTGCGTTGGATGTTAGTGTGATGACTGCTCGAGCATCTGACCCACCGATCCTGGTGTTGGGAACAGTGTTCACCTGTGCGCTTCTCGCGTGACTAATTAATCAGCCTAGCCGGAGTCTCAGCACTGAATATGGAGCGCTTTCGTATGTGAAGAGCGTTTCGGAAGCTGTTGGTCACCTTCTCGCACCACTTGGGGTTGGAGTTGCACACAGACCGCAGGCAACCATCAGGCGTCAGATAATTAAACCGAAAGACCCGCTGCCACGGCAAGAAACGTATGGGCTCGTTAATCAGATCTAGTGCAGTTGCGGACACAGCAACTACGTCGGAGAAACCGGAAGACAGTTCAAAACGTGAATGGCCGAACACGCTGCAGCGGCGCGGAGAAATGACGCCAGCTCTCAAGTTGCGGTCCATTCAACGAGACCCAGCCATACATACATCCAAATTCGACGAGGCGAAAATTCCCGCTATAGCTGACAACCGCGTGAGCCGCAAGCCGATTCACTCATGGTTCACTGGCCCTAGTCCATAAACAAGTGCAACGACCTTCCCCTTCCATATTCGGTGCTCAGACTCCGCCTAGGCGGAGTAATTAGACACGCTGGAAGCGCACAGGCGAACACTGTTCTCAACGCCAGAGTCGGTGAGTCAGATGGTCGAGCAATCATCACACCAACATCCGACGCACGTGATGAAATTGCAACATTTAAAGGCGCGAATATCGGCTATCAAACAGTCATCACACGAAATTCAACGATTCCTGGTGAAAGCGTGGGAGCCGCGATAGCACGGTGACTGCATCCTATAAATACTGCGGCCCCTTGTGCATGAAGCTCACGTATCTGCTTTTTTCTCTGATGATGGGTTCGAGCAGGAATCCGAAACGTCATGCTAATAAAGTTCTTGTCCCAGCCATCGTGTCTCCTTCATCAAGACTTTTTCCTGGAACTCGTTTCTTCGCTTCTATTGGCAATATAGAATTGATCCCAAAATGATGAAGTTGTGTAAGGACTCTCTATCGGCATGTCGAAACGCACTTCAGTGAGCTGGAAGACAAGATTGCCGAACTACAATACCTCCAACGGGCCTTCAAAGCCAATCGCTACCCGCGCAACTGCGCAAACGGGATGAAAAATTTTGACGAGCGCTTCCGTACGTTCGAAACTTCAGGCTACTAATGCTCTTGTTCTATCGACCATCTCTCCTTCTTTACGACTGCTTCCGGGGACTCGTTACCTCGCTTCCACTGGCAATGACTGCTTTGTTGTTCGTGAAGAAGAGCCTGCCCTTAGTTGCCTCAAGGTGGGTGAAAAGACAACTACGCGTAAATCAGTTACATTCTCCCGGTGTCAGTGAAGTCCTGTAATTCAGACTAGTAGATATTAACGACACGAAGCCCTAACTTAATAAACAGTGAATTCCCCCCTCCCCCCACCAGGACATTGAAGTAACGCAGCAAATCCGACACACGAATGCGAATCCTCGATCTTCTTCACACGGTGCTTCAAATACAACCGTTCAGCGATTCCCCTCAAAAAGAATTTTTAAGTGCGTTTCAAGACACAACACTAAGGAACGTTTGCTACTTTACGGGGATGTTTGTTCTAGTATTTCAGGCGAAAATACAAAGGGTTAAATTTCAATTTTTCTGTTCAGAGCCGCAGAGCCCATTAAGAATCTAAAGTGCTTCAACTGATGTGGTATAAAAAAAACCCGAATTTGTTTTTACCCAAGTCCATAGAGTTAAAGAGATTTTATGGATTGGAAAGCAAAATCAAGCTATTGGAAAACAGTGAGCATGTAGGTTAGTGCATACCAGCATGTTTGGTTCCCTAGTCTTGCTGTGGTAACTGATTTATCTACGATCACGCTGGTGTCGACGAGGGAATTCTCGACGCCCGGCTTTGCGAACCGGCATTACCGGAGCGTCAATAGGAACGTCTAATAACAAGGTCTTGCATTTCATGGGAATTTCTAAGGGTCAGCTAAGGACAAATTCTGAGAGCTCGGTCGCAAGTTGACAGCTCAGGATGTGGAAAAGTCGCAGTGAATGCATACGGAAATTCACGTCTTCAAAGTGCCCTCTTGGGGGCCTGATGACAGGTACTGCCACGCTTATGCGTCTGCAACCATGAGTAGTACGGCTGTTAGTCTCTTACGTCACATGAAATTGCATCGTTTTTTGACGGATGAATATACCCGCCCTTACTGCTCTTCTCGTGGTTTTATCATGTACTGTCCTGTGCAGGTATTTCACGTTTAGGATTGTTACATTCGTGAGAGGATTAGGTCAAACATTAAAGGCCGCAGAGGTACCGATTGCGCATACATATATAGTATTAAAGGAAAAAAATTTTGCGAAAAAGCTTTTAAATCACCAAAGCGCCTGCCAACCTTTTCTTGCGTTCGTCCTCCAATGACAGAATAACGTCCAAAATGCATGTCTCCAAGGGCAACTGTCTCTAGACCACTTTAATCGTATTTTGGCATTTGTCCGCATTTACATACTAATAAATCTGAGCCGACTAGAAATACCTAAAAGTCCTTGGAGGGGTGGCCGTACAGGCAACACAAATTCCAGTCTCACAGCCCCTAAAAGTGTATTAACCTCGGAACACATGCTGTGTGCGACCTCAATGAAGATGAAGGAATATGAGTTAAGTTTCTACAATGTAGCTGCCGACACTGGTCATTTTTCGGAGTTAGGTGTCAGTATCATTGAATGCGATTCACACCACGCTCCCATGGCTAAGGTCATTTATGATTTTAGCCTTGTCCACTGAACTCCCGGACGAAACAGACATGCCAGGTCGCATTCTACGATTAGAGATTGAATCGGAACAGTTCCCATTCCAGCTGCCGGAGGATGTTCAGCAGCTAATGGAGCGGGAGCCCGCCTGGGATTGGGATACAGCTAGGGGATGCCGGCTAATGAATCGGAAATGACTGCTCAGACTTCTTGGCCTTTGTTGGCAACATCCTTCAAGTGACTAGCATAAAGTGCCAATCGATAACTGGTCGTCTGCATGCGATTGCGTTTGGTATCTTTGGCAGCTAACCATTTTGACGTGTCACCTTTTATTCACTAAGGACAGACACTACTGACTACTTGCGAGATCACAGGGGGAAGGCGGACTGTGAAGTTGGGATGCCGACGGGAGGATTACTATTCGGACGCACTGCAAATGCAAAACGTACAAATTGACGGTCAGAATGGAGATCAACTGGGAGGGTTCCCAAGGAACCACTCGTAGGGGCACTTGCGGAGATACGAAAATGAAGTCCAGAAGTTGTGCATGTCTCTGCCCCGGCACTGGAGGGCCTTGGGCATGCCAGGGCCGGCCATGGAGCCGACTGACCGGTTCGGGCGTTCGTGATTGGCCGAAAACCAGACTGCCGCTGACTACGTGAAAGCAGCCGTCCCAAGTAGGCCCACTGCATACTAACAAAGAGCCAAAGAGGGCATCAATCCGCCCTGCGACGATTAGGACGAGAGCCCCTTCTTCACATAATAAAATTCACAAGTAAAAACTACTGACAACTACAAAGTAGGAGATTTACAGTCTTTTCAGGACAGTTATGGCCTCTCAGTCAAAGGTTTGCCCACGAGGCCCACTTAAATTGCCAACAGGAGCCAAAAACAACCACCGCACGCAGAAGAAAAACGGAAGAGGTGCATCAACAGGATCGGCCTGTATGCGAGAAAAAACCCACGCACGTACAGGCATGCGAATGACAGCTGCAGACGGATTTATTCACAAAATAGACAGAAGTCAGAAGACTCGTTGATTCAGTTAACGCAGACAAGAAGCGCAACAATAAGAGACATCTTCTGTTTATTCCCCTCACGATTGGCATTAGTACATGCTAATGGTATTGTTGGAGCGCGGAACCTTGATGCGGTCAATGTTCTTAACGATCAGGTCATGAAGGACGGCCTGAAAGGAAGTAGTAAAACATATTAAATATTCAAGGTCAAGCGTCAACTGGGGGGTGGTTGATTGGTCAAAACTGGCAACAAAAGGCGATGGGTCGGAGACTCCAATTTTCGGAGTAAACAGAGCGAACTCGAGGGCAAACGGTTGGGGTTCGTGGCTCTCACCCAGGCAGCTCGGGTTCGACTCCCGGTCGGGGAGCAGTTTTACCCGACTGGAAGTCGGCGTGGATTACGCCGCTGTGTAAGGGCGGAAGTCGGGTCTCTGCGAACAATTACAGACCTAACAGCCTCGCCTCCATTTGCTGCAAGATTATGGAGAAAATAATAAAGCAACAATTGATGCAGTTCCTTGTGTGGCATGAATTGTTCTCATTGATTTTCAATGCCCTTAAGAATTCAATTAAATTTCATGGCCAACATGCATAAGAATATTCATTCTTTTACGCATTCGGTGGAAAATTAAGTTTTCTTCTAATTTTATACTCGAAGTAGGGACGAAATTCGGTTTTAACAAAACTTCCAACTGTAGGACTTTTAAATACCGTGAAATGGCCGTTCATAAATCGTCATATCTCTGCATTTACCAATGTGGCTTGTAAAGTTAACAATAGGATTCAAATCCACCGCTAAATTCTATGAAACCTATATGGTACCCCTTTAGTACCGTAGAGAAATGTGGGGTTTTCCGTACGCGGAAAATATACGGCTTGTAGTTTCAAAACCCTGAATCCGAGTGTAACGGTAGAGCGGGTTCAAAATTATTCGGGAATTGGAAAACCTTTTTAAAACCGAATTGTGTCCCTCGTTCGAGTATAAAGTTAAAAGAACACGTAATTATCTACTAAATGAGCAAAAAAGGAATATTTTATGCCTGTTTTCAATGAAATATAATTGGACTTTTAGGGGCATCGAAAATCAGTGAGAAAAATTCATGCTACATAAGTAGTCATTTTTACTGAGTGTAGTTTTTGCATGCAGCCGGAAGGAAGTTAATTCGAAGGCCGGCATTCTGAGGTAACTGAAGAATTATAAAATTATGTTGCAGGCTGATTATTTTTACAACCGTACCTAATTAATCTTCTTGAAACGAAGACGCATTTCGGAATTTCGGTTGACAGTTCATGTGTTAGCCAACCTACTGTAAGCCATGAGTCGCTCTTGGACTGCATAAATCTAGTCAGTGCTCCATTTCAATATCGTGTTCTCAGGGAATGGTAGAGGTGGGACTAGTTACGAAGGCCTACGGTCTCTCTCTACAAACAGTATGTGGCCTAACACCTAAAATGTTGTACATTATACTCATTAGCCTAGTGCGCAGACGTCTGTCAGTCAGATGCCTAAATAGAGCGCTTTCAAAGAGATAACCCAGTATAGACAGTTGTTCAATTGATACAGAGCATATGCACTGCCGACTCAGCGAAGAGGTTTCATACCACGAGATGCAGAACGTCAGGACTTGCCGGCAAAGAACCTAAAGTGCCCAGGCAGCGATGATTCATTCTCAATGTGGCCTTTAAGAGACTGCTTAAAGATTGGTTCCTATGAATTTAGGGTCCGACACGCGTAGATGTGGCCACAAATCTGGTTTAACATAAACATATTCATTCACGGAGTCTATCCGTCCTAAGCCGAATTTACGGGAGAGAAGGGTGGTTGTACTACCCTCTAATTGCCACTGCGCCTACACTCATCAACAGCCGACGACCAACCAATGTCCCTGCCTGCTCGCTAAGCGACATGGCAATTGGTGGAGTCCATGCCGCCCAGGTCGGGGGTTTTGAGATCAGTATGTGCGAACTCCCGCTTGATAAAACCATTCGTTAATCGGGGCGATTATTTTGATTAACTCGGCGCCGTGGTGAGATTCGAACCCACGCAGTAAGGGGAAGGCTTTGGTTGGACGGGTAACTTGACCCAAATGTGATTAAACTCGCGTTGTCCGGCGGGGCCTCGTAGCTCAAGTGGTTAGAGCGTTGGCTGCACTAAAGCCTTCCTCTTACAGTTGTGGGTTCGAATCCTACCGAGGAGTCAAGTTTTTCACAGTTGGATAAATAGGAATTATTCAAAAATCTCCCAAAACATCTATGGGAAGTCTTGATATCCGAAAAGAATTTTAACTCGAATTCATCCTCTGCTCCGAAAATAAAACAAAAAAGATGTAGGATATTTGGGTCATGTTTACTCGCCAAACCTACTGCAACGTCTGGAATCCACCAAATCTGATACAGTAAGTTGACTTTCCAAGCAGGATTTTCTAAGTACTTCACCTAGAATCCACCAGATGACTACCAAGCTCACGTAATTCATGTTTTGGCAGATTTTGAATAATTCATATCGACCCAACTGTGAAAAACTCGGCGCCTCGGTGGGATTCGAATCCACACAGTACGGGGAAAACGGGACCTCGTAGCTTATGTTGTTAGAGCGTGGGCAATACTAAAGCCTTCCTCTTACTGCGTGGGTTGGAATCCCACCAAGGCGCCGAGTTTTCCACAGTTGGGTCAATATGAATTATTAAAAATCTGCCAAAACATCTATAACTTATTTCTGGCAGTTTTAGCATAAATATGGAAGAAGCGATCCTATCCACCGCGAACAAGAAGAAACCAAATCAAAACAATGAACGCACATAGTGGTTGCGAATTTCCATGATCACGTAACGCACGGAGATGGCCTGCTTTTCATCCATATCTCGAATGCATTCCCGGTAGTCTTCAATGTGTGGGAACTTGGCGACCTTGCCTACTAGCTTTCCCCTCGAGGCGTAGTATCTGCAAGAAGAAAGCACAAGAGTGGAGATCAGAGAGGTGTGCAGCCATTCAATGTCAGGTCGTCGCGCGAAAAGCGATCAATAAGTAAATTACCAACAGCGAGGAGGTCATACCGCCATCCCAAATCGGAATATATAAGGTCTGAATCCAGCCTAATGTTCCAGTCCTTCATAAACAAGAACATTGAGTTAGTCAACCCCAAACCCTTTCTCTCTCTCTCTCTCCCTCCTGTTTTTCGACTATGCTTTCTCATTTTCAACAAAACCGGTAACAGGAACTTGAAGTGATTATATTTAATGTGCAGAGAAGTATTGCCTCACGCAGAAGTACGGTTGCCTCAGAATAAAACCGCACACAGTCTCGATCAGTTCTGCCATAGGGTTAGGCTATTAACTGATAGGTTAATTGTGATTGGGGTTTAGGGTCAGAACGAAGGTCCTAGGAAATGTGCTAATGACACAAACACCTAAATGTTGTGCTCAAATCCTACTTTGCTACTAACAGTTTATTAGTAACAAGATTTTATCGGAGCATGCTTTCTATAAGCAAACCTCGCTGGTGGATTCCCGCGGCCCTATTTTTTGACTTACCCGACTTTGAACAGACTAACACATGTCGGTGTCATTGGCGATACCGCCGGTCTAATCACCTCGAATGCAGACCCATCTTCCAGTTATCTATCTGCTCTCTTGATCTTACTACTAACTACTGTAGGAGCACAAAGAATATCCGAGTTATTCAGACTCTTCTGACACTGTACATCTACTCAAGTGAAGGAACCGGTATTGCACTAAGACAATCTAACAAATATCAACAATGTTCAAGGGCGTCTTTCGAGATATTTCTGGAGTAACAGAAAGAAGGCATTCAAGACGGGGGAATGGTGGTCCCCCGTCCATTTACTCACCTTGTAAACTGATCCAGGAAGGTAAGAGCATCGCGTTCAATGCCGGAGGCCTCTGAAAGAACCTCCTCCTGGATGCTGACACCGAAGTTGTTGCCGTCTTCAATTCGTGGAACGTTGAACTGGATCCATAGTCGAACGAGCTGAGCCTCCATCATGAGTTGGGTCAAGTAGGGTTTTGCTTGCTGCCACGGAGATAAAAAAAAAAACAGGAGAATGACGCGAGTAACTTTGCATAAGCCTGGTACACGCGCCCCCTTCCATTCACTGGACCGGCTCACGACTCAGTTCAGTGACTGGCTACCACACCGTGCAGTACTCAACAGGCCACATCAGAATTGGGCAGGCTTCGGTAAACCTCGTTTCGGTTGCAAAGGAAGGGGGGTCAAATGACATCATAAAATTCCACACAAAGGCAGTTCAGGGTTGGCGTCGCCAAGAAAGTCAAAGTTGCGTAAGCTATTGGACCGCGTGATTAACTCCGCAAAAGGGGCATGAACCAAATATGCTGATCAGGGACGGTTTTGCGGATGTACGGGGTTCACTGTTGCTGCTAGCGCGACTAGTAGAATAAGATCCTGAGAAACCAAGAAGGCATCCTGTTGTCGGCACAAGATCATTCCAAGAAAACAAACTATGAGATCAAGAAATGGAAAGTGCACGTCACAGTGTACAGTAGGTGGGCTAACTCATTAAATGTCAACCGAAATTCCGAAATGCGTTTTCGTTTCGAAAAGATCAATTAAGTAGGTTTATAGAACTAGTCAGCCCGCGACACTTTGCAAAAAATGATTACTTGAGTAGCATGAATTTTTCTCATTGACTTTCGATGTCTCTAAAGTCCAATTATATTTCACGGAAAACATGCATAAAAATGTTCATTCTCTAGCTCATTCGGTAGATGATTGCGTCTTCTTCTAATTTTATACTCAAAGGAAGGACATAATTCGGTTTAAAATTTTTTTCCAATTCTCGAATAATTTTCAACCGGCTCTACCGTCGCACTTGAATTCAGGGTTTCGAAACTACAAGCCGTATATTTTCCGCGTACAGAAAACCACACATTTCTCTATCGTAATGAAGGGGGACCATATGGGGTTCATAAAATTAAACAGTGGATTTGATCCATATTGTTAACTTTACAAGCCACATCGGTAAATGCAGAGATATGATGATTTATGAACGGCCATTTTACGGTATTTAAAAATTCCACAATTAAAAACTTTTTTACAACCGGATTATGTCACTTCTCCGCGTATAAAATTAAAAGAAGACGTAATTTTCTACCAAATGAGTACGAGAATGAATATTTTTATGCGTGTTTTCCATGAAATATAATTGAATGTTCAAGGACATCGAAAATCAATGAGGAACATCCATGCTACTTAAGTAGTCATTACTTACAGAGTACAGTTTTTGCATGTGGCCGGAAGGAAGCTCATACGGAAGCCGGCATCCTGAGGCAACTGAAATATTATAGAATTATGTTGCAGGCTGACTAGTTTTACAACCCCACTTAATTGATCTTTTCGAGTCGAAAGCGCATTTCAGAATTCCGGTCGACATTTCACGAGTTAGCCCACCTACTGTAGGTGGACTTTTCCCAGTGCCCACCGTTAGGAGGAGCCGACCTAGCCGACTCTCTGACACGCCGCTCTGACGATTCGCCAATTTTGGACAGGATTGGAGGTCCGCCCAAAGTGCCAAATGTGTCGGAAGTCCGGCCCGTACTGTCCGATGAAGTCGAGGGCAGTACACACGGTTGAATAGGCTGCCAGGAATGGCCCTTCGGTACGCGTATGTGGATATAGTAAGGGAGGGGGTTCGAGGTATATAAAATTCACTGTTACGTGGATACAAGAATAGAAAAGTAGGAGTAGATAAAATACGATACAGGGAAACGATTCGCTGCACAAATTATCCACTTGGAGTGGGAGGTGGTTCCGTCACATCAGCTAGACACAGGTTGGGGATTGCAGCGCTGTCGGCAACTGCGGGCAAGGGTCGTAGACTGTGCTGACAAGAGAGGGTACGAGCGACGAACGACGAGCGTGGAAAGGTCTCAACGATAGGGAGAGAGAGGAAACCCCGACCACCTTCGCTAACACGCGATTACACCATTCCCATACGGGTTCCGCGCGAAAAGTGACCTCAGTCTAGTCAAACAACACTGTCTAGCCCATTGGGCGTTACAGGCCGCGTGCTAACCACTCAAGGACACCATCTGATTGGTCCAATTTCAGTCTGATCTCGGACACTCACTTCTACCGCCTTATGTAAGCTGTCAGAATACGTCAATACACGTCTTCACATTCGCCCTCCCCCCTGCTGTTGAGTTCTGCTTCGGTGGTTCGAGCGAGGAGAGAGTTGTTGGGTGGCGACCACCGAGACGCGCGGCAAGCCCACAACAACCATGATCAGAAATTCATAGATGTTTTGGCAGATTTTGAATAATTCGTATTGACCCAACTGTGAAAAACTCGGCGCCTCGGTGGGAGTCGAACCCACGCAGTAAGGGGAAGGCTTTAGTACAGCCAACACTCTAACCACTTGAGCTACGAGGCCCCGCCGGACGACGCGACTCAAATGTGATTAAACTCGCTTCGTCCGGCGGGGCCTCGTAGCTCGAATGGTTAGAGTGTTGGCTATACCAAAGCCTTACCCTTACTGCGTGGGTCCGAATCCCACCGAGGCGCCGAGTTTTTCACAGTTGGGTCAGTATGAATGCATGATTAGGAAAACAAGTTCGTAGGGCGTTTGTGCTGCACAAAATGTCCTTACTAGGAGAACTTTTGTGATAGTAAATTCTCATGCAAACAACATGGCAGAGAAGCAGCAGGCGTTTCTCACCGCGTCAACTTATAATTTTTTTACCAAACTGCCTCAGTTATTGAAATTTCTCAGTACTGGATGGTCATACACACCCCGAAAGGCTTCATCCGCACCCGTCAACGAAGGTAAATCAATAAAATATAGCGGAACTGTTGCAAGCTAGCACTACACCCCAGTGGCGTGTGGCAGTGTCAACTTCAGTCACACGACGGTACGAAGTAACTAACCTGCAACTTGAAGGAAGGGAGGGGCGACGTAGACTACTTGACAGAGGATATAGGTGTGAAAACAGTTAAAAGGATTGCTGTCAGGCCTGGCACCTACCTCGATCATTTCCCGAATGTGGTTATTGAAGGGTACGCTGCCGCCGGGGAAGGTATAGACGGGGGACCCAAACACCGGACCATTGCTCGAAGCGTCATGGGTCGAGGCGGCGACATCGCCCTCGGCCTGGCCAGTAGGTTGCGGCAGGTTGATTTTCTGGAACACAGAGGAGGGGGCTGTGCAAGGGAAGACAGCCAAAAATCAGCGTAATGTTTCGTTTTCTCATCTACTGGTTATAAGCTAAACAAATATAGCGGAGAAACCTGTTTGTTGAAAAAATGAGTCTTAAAAAGGAAAAAAAACCAGTCTGCCGAAATGTAAGAGATGACATGAGTAGGTAAGTGAAGAAGGCAGCCAGTGTTCAAACGAAGGAGATGCGATGGTTGGAACACGAATTTAACTGGCTTGACGTTTCGGATTCACAGGCGAACTCATTATCAGCGACAGCCGCGGATGGGAGAAATGCAGGCACAGGGAACGTAATTACCATGCAACTAGATGCCTAGCATATTTAGCAGCCAGCCTTAATGGGGGGGGGGTGTTAAGATGCGCTGCAGTGAACTGGATGACAAGACTGCCAAAGTACAATACCTTAAACGGATATTAAAGGCAAATGGATATCCGACGCACATCTAAACAAGGCGCGAGGTCAAATCGCACCAAACCGACATTTTGGTGAGCGTTTCTGTAAAGAACGTCTCGGAGGTCATCAGCTGTCTTATCGCACCACTTGAGGTTGAGCTTGAACACAGACAGGAGGCAACTGCGAGGGACTAGGTAATGAGACCAAAAGACCCACTGCCACAGCAAGAAACGTCTGAGGTCGTTAATCGGACCTGGCGCAGTTGCAGACAAAGCAACTACATCGAGTCAAGTGGAAGATTACCACGGACACGAATGGCGGAACATGCAGCAACAATGAAGAATGACTCTGGCTCTCAGGTCGTAGCTCATTCGACGGGGCCCGGTCACAAATTCAAGTCTGGCGAGGCCGAAATTCTCGCGAGAGGAGGCAACCACGCGAGCCCTGAGCTGCTTGAGTTATGATTCTCCAGCCTGCAGTCGATTAGCAAGCTTGATAACTTCCCGCTTCAATGACTGTGTCAAGACTTCCCCTGTGCAAAGCAAGTGGCCGCGCAGGGAGGGCACGAGCAACCATCAGTTCCAGTGACAGCAAGTCTGATTTCTGAGTAATAGTCATTACAAGATTCAGCAACGTTGACAAAATCACGGCGACTAACAAGCAATCATTGCATGACATACGTACCCCAACGATGAAGGTGAATGCCAGTTAATTATACTAGGCATGTAGCTGATAGAAGCGAACAGGTGAGTCCCAGGTAGCAGTTCAGAAGACGAAGATGAGATCACTGGAAGAAGGAATTTATTGGCCTGAAGTTTCGGATTATCACTCTCACCCATTATCAGAGACAGTCGAGGATACGGGTAATGGTGGCACAAGGGGTGCAGTATTTATAGCATGTGGCTACCGTGGGACCATATGCGTACCGTAATTAACAGATCTCGCAATCACCGCTGCAGTCGTAATTGATGCGATGGTGCCTTGTCAGTCCACGTCCGAGTCGTTAATAGCCGTGATTTCGTCATCCGTGCTGGATACTAGTGTGACGATTGCCCGGCAAATTGGCTCACTGTCACTGGGATAATTGCTCGCCCGCGCCCTTCCCACGTGACTGATTCCCCTGCCCAGGGAAAATTTCAGCAGGGAATATGGTACCAGGAGGTCATTGCGCTTGTTGATGGATTGCGGGCCTGAGGACCACGACTCAAGCAGCTCGCGGCTCACGCGGTTGTCACCCCTTGCGAGGATTTCGGTCTCTGGAAACTTGAAAATATGGCCGGGTCCCGTCGAATGAGCCGCCACCTGAGAGCTAGCGTCTCCCCGCCTCACTGCTACCGCGTGCTCAACAATTCGCGTACGGAGTAATCTCCCAGTTTCTCCAACGTAGTTGCTTTGTCCACAAAAAACTAGGCATGTACTTGCATGAAATTTACGTCCTATACATAATTGCGCTCCTTGTGCCAGTAGTACCCTGATTTGCGACTGTCCCTGATGGCAGTTTAGAGAGAGAATCGGAAGCGTCCGGGCAGTAAACTTCTTGTTCCCGCGATTGAAGCTCATTCTTCTGAACTGGAAATCGCCCATTCGCTCCAATCGACAGTCACCACTGACAAACCTTAACAAATCCCCTTTCGTAATTCACAAGTCGCGTCTTGATAGTCTAGCAGGTCTTGCACGCCCGAGGTGACCGCGCTCGATCAGACCCATGTTTCGGTCCATCATCCAAAAAAAGAAATGGAGAGGTATGAAGTGTGATTTAGTGCAGTCGTACGCGATCGTTGAACAACCACCCTAATAATTGCAGACGAAGTGATCTGGCAGATTCGATTTGAAGTGCCGTTCATCTGAATACTGATCATTCGGGCGTCACAAACTCGATGTTACTCGGTAGAGGCGGTCCTAAGGCTACACCGACTGGGTGAGGATAGTTATGTTTATTGACCGATCCAGGTGAAAATAAATCAAGCATCGGGCTGCCCGCGGCTCACATTATTGTCGTCTCCTGTGTAGAGTGAGCTTAGTGTCGTTCTGGTTCACAAAACCTCCGACAGGTAACTGGTAAGGCTTAATGCCAGTACCACGAAGGAGGTGGAAAGGGAACTTTGGAGGACTAAAACCATGAAGATCTGAGTGAGTTGCGTAGGGAAGAAAATGGAGTACGTTATTACCGACAGAGACAAGGGAAACTGGGATGGCCATTTATGGCTTATTGGCCGTCGTCAGCCAGTCATACCCAACCCCGAAGTGTGGAACACCCGAGGCTCGAACTCGCGACCTGTTAGTTAGGAAGCCCACGCCTCTAAACACTGGCTCCCCTACCATTTTATATTCCCGATCGAAACCGACAGGGCAACGGGTTCGTGGTCCAGTGGTTAGAGGCGTGGACTTCTAACTAACAGGTCGCGAGTTCGAGCCTCGGGTGTTCCACACTTCGGGGTTGGGTATGACTGTCTGACGACGGCTGATAAGCAAGAAATGGCCATTCCAGTCTCCATTGTCTTCGTCGGTAATAACATGCTGCCTACATCATGGGCCGCTGTGCGGCTGCTGGTTGGGCTCGAGAGAGAGAACCCGTCAGACACAACGAAACGAGTGAGTTCCGTAAGAACGATCGGTGAGCGCTCCCTACCAAAGAAAATTGAGATTCACGTCTGCCCATTGTGCTAGGGAATATTTGAACAAAACAGGAAGGGGTGTAGATTCACACCTGCACGTTGCTGATCGGCATACACTGGGCAGCCACGCCCCGTTGAGACGTCGACTTACCCATCAGACCGACCGCTTTGTGTCAGTCATGCTGACCTGTATGACTAACTTCCATCTCGAGCGAGTGCACCACGGTTGACGCAAGAGTTGGTGGCAGTTAATCACGAGCGCCATGAAATCCCAGCCAATCAGCGTGTGGCTATTTAACACTCCAACACATGTCCCAACTGACACGCACGTGGACATACATTCCGCACACGGACACGGAAGCTCACTTCTACAAGCGGACTTTGGCCTTTATTTTGCATTCTCTTACCAAGACTGAAGCCTACTCAACCTCTTCGCGTGTATTAACCTATTCAACCTGCACACAGTAAACTGCCAATTCAGATGCCGGAATGTGCCCTGTTCTGGGGGACAGTGGCTTCTGTCAACGATGTAGAGTAAACTGCAATGTTTGGCCATCATGGTGAAACGGAAACGCCTATGGATCCGACGTGACGTTGTAGCAGCCGCTCCAGCCCCCCCCTTTTCTCCGGCTCCGTTTTGTCGGTCGATGGCCGCGACAAGCACTGACAGGCCGCTGACACACGACAACCCCTGGCGACTGGAACTGGGGCACCTCCTGTCCAGCTGCAGTGACCCCCGGCTGCCCTCACAAACTAGTATCACCTAACGCGCGTCGTACGTTTTGGCTTGATTCCCGCGAGGCCTTGTGAGTATGCGCCCTCCATTCCTCCCCTAATTTGTCCAATCACACGACCACCACTCAGACAGTCATTCACCCCTCCTGCTGACCCAGACACTCACGCCCGCGTAAACACACACCGCGACTGACGCTCTCCGTGAACGGACGCTTATCTCTGTTGCAAGCAAACAGCCAACTTACGGCAGCCTGTCCTGTGTACAGAATAAACTAGTCCTCACGGATACCTGACTTCTGACATTAGACGAAGCTAACTTATTGTGCGTGGTTTAAGTTGATCTCACATCCTTGACCGCCACAACGTCTCCATCGCCACTAAGATTCGCGTGTACCGTGCACCTGACCGGTCTGTCCTCTACGTTTGTGAATGCTGGGCTTTGTGCGTGGAGGGCCAGCGAAAACTGGAGGTATTTGACCACCACTGCTTGAGGACCATCCTTCGAGTGAAGTAGACCGACTACGCCTCAAATGAGACAGTCCGAGCTCGCTGCGACAAAATCGCAAGAATGACTCAGGCCATCCAAGAAAGACGACTGAGGTGGTTCGGGCATGTTCTTCTTCGTCCATCTCAGAAGCTCAGTGTTACTGCCCTTGATCCGGCACCGCTGCCCCATTGGAGGCGTCGAAGAGGGAGTTAGTTCAAAACCTGGCCTGACACAGTTCGTCAAGACATGGAGGTGATTCTTGGACCTTAGGCATCCGGTCTACGTCGTTGGCGAAGGGAACGGGTTGAGCTGTCCAGATCTGCTGCCGCGGATCGTCAAGCGAGGAGAGGTGCAGTTCGTGACATCATCGAGGCCGGCTAGATCAGGCAGTATCGCAGCCGTATCAAGTACAAGCAAGTAAGAGTGGAGCACCATGGTGCGGGCTCGGCCGCGCCACCGACCTGAGCCCTCCCGCCTCAGGTCTGTTCTACTCTTTCCTGACACTGGGCCCAGGTAAAGGTGGAGGATCGAGTGCAATAAGTGCGGCGAAAGTCTACACTCAGTAAGTCTACATAAGTAAGCACCCGTCTCGAGTAAAATTGGAACTCACTCATTTGTTCATGGAGGGTCCTTTGAGTCTTTGTAAAAATTCGCATAGGAAGGAAGGCGTACGTATCAAGACTGTCGTAGCAATCCAGTCCTACCTCCAATTTGAGACCGAGGTTATGGGAGGTCTGAACGCAACTTGAACGTCAGGCGGAACCATGACACCTAAGCTAGGCTACTTTTGGACAAGGTTTAGGGGTCAGAAGACATCAGTAGGAACGCAGCTTGGGATTTAGAATATTTTTAAGTGGTGCAGAAAAGCGCTGAGTTGTCGTATCAAAAACGAAAACCATATTCTGAGGGATCTCCGGACATTGTTCATATACTGGGTTGTCTAATGGGTCTTAAGTTCTTTAAAAATGGATTTTCCCCATCAAGTTGCCTTGTTACGGCAAATGCTACCTAGTACTGGATAGCAATCTCTTCTGCTCTACGTGGCCACTGTCAGTGTTTTCTCGTAAAATTTTGTATTACTAAATTTATATGCCTAAGCAATGACGTGTGGAGTTTAGAAAAACGAGCATTTTCGACACCTGCTTTATTCGCCTCCAATTGAGGTTTCAAGGTTGGTGAGTCGCGATGAATGTGTAACGCCTCGGCTGAGGAGGGATTCTCATCTTCGGAAGACCATGATTGGCGTGCGGTGGGATTAGGAGGACGCAATTTCCTCCGAAAAGCTCGAGCAAGCCACACGGTGAACAAAAACAAAAGCAATACAACCACATCGTTTACTGGAAGCTACTAAACAAAAACAATCCGACTTCGCACGACTCAACTCGACAGAATGACTATGCAATAACTCACCTGGGATGTTTTGTCACATCCACCCTACAGTCCCGACTTCCTTCTGTCAGACTTTAATTTTTCGGTCGCTTTAGAACCAAATGGGTGGCGTTACGTTCAACAACGATGCAAACCTCAAAAATGGCTCGAAAGCTATCCCAACACCAGGAAATGCAGTTTTGTTTGCGGAAATGCCAATAAAAAACTGACTGAAAGATAGGGAGATGTCGTAAACAGTAAAGAGAAAACATCGTTGATTGATATGCAGTCCCTTTGCTTAGAATTTTATATTTTCTATAGATAAGCCTAGCAGCCCGAAAGGAGATAGTTAATAGCCCAACGCTTCAATTGCCATGTAATCAGGTCACCAGTCTGCAACGGTGCCATAGGGCCACGATGAATACCAGTAGAAAAGACATCCATTAACTACAAACAAAAACGAAGTCCCGCCTGTCGATGCTACCCAAAAAGGCCCCTTGTCTCGCACCAACCTCATCGAAGCCACAACAATCGCAATACGATCAAGTCAACAAGCATGCGACTGCATCACGCATTGAAGGGGAGAAAAGCAAGCGACTTACACATACTGTACAACTTTGAAGAGAGGAGCTGTTCCATCTCGAAGACGCGTTTGGGGAAGACCGTTCGTACCAGGTTCTCCCCATCGATTTTTGTCTTCTCCTTGTACTGCTGCAGCTTGCAAGACACTTCGTCTGTCTGTGGGCAGAAATTCAACGGGGTTCGGTAAAACAACTATGAGAAGTTACCAGCGCGAAAGAGTCGGTGACAACGAAACCATGGTAAAAAGACCAGGAAAAGGTTTTATACCTACGAGAAGAGAATACGACAGAAGGTACTGTGACCCTGCACAGACCTAAAGGTCCTGTAGGGCCATGACAGCACTCCTTCGGTGATAATGGACGTGACTATGGCCTCAGAGACAATAAAAGAAAGCTAAAAGCAATGGTGTGGTGCAGTTCTCTCCCAGGTAGCCACTTGGCAAGGCGACTAACACAGGGAGCTCACAGCCAAAAAAACACGAGGCATGAAAGGAACTTTCCAATTACTGTTTAGGAGACGAAGGAGGAAACAACAGAAGTGCTGATGAGCAGTGTCCCGGGTTGTGCAAAGCACCCTGATGGTCAAAGATATTCTCCCCGACCACTACGTCAGCTGAAAGGCATTGATTTTAGCTATACAACTAGTATCTTCTAAACGGCAGCTACTGCTCGCTCCAATCTTTTAATTCAGTTCTGAATTCAGAGCAGATGGAGTCAGGAGTGGTTCCGCAACAAAATGTCCCCAAGCGCCAATTAGAGACAACAGAATATGATTATCGATAGACATTTTGGCAGACTTTGAATAGTTCATATTGAATTGTCTAAGTTCAGCGAATATTCCCGTGTTACAGTTGAAAAATCAATTAGGCAAACACGTGTTTTCGGTAACTCTTCATCAGGCCAAAACGGTTACATAAAAGTTTAAGTTATGCGAAGTTACATGGCTTATAAGTGATTCGGGGACAATTGACATCCATCGTTCCCACGTCACTCGCATGACAAGGCGTGCTATGGCGTGGTCGGCGTGTCGTGGTTATTGGGTCAAGAGGGCGAGGGAGAGGGGGCATAGGCTGTGAGTACGTCGGGTACGTTGTGCACACGCACTGCCATCAGGACGTTGGGGTCGGCGTTGGCCACGGAAGACAGAGCGGTTGTGTCAGAGTCTTCTGACAGCATAGCACTGGATTGGCTAACCGTATAGATACTGCCTCGACTGTAGCTAGCACCCGTTGTTGAATTCAACAATCCACACCCCTCGCTAACGTTCTCTGCAGAGTTTGAGGCAGACAATGAAATCGCGTTCCTCGATGTTCTTCTGCACAGACAAGAGGATGGGTCTATCCAACGTAGGGTATTCCGAATGAAAACCTGGACGGGACAATACACTAATTTTCACAGTATTGTTCCCCTCAATATTAAACGCAATTTGGTCCAGGGATTGGCAGCTAGAGTGCGACGTATCTGCTCTCCTGAGACCGTTGACGCAGAACTACATCAGCTGTGGGATATACTCCACAAAAACGGATACCCAGAAAGATTAATCCTCCGAAATATAGAGGAGCGCAGTGCAAAGCCCACCACGGTAACTGCAGAAAAGAAGGACTTATTTATAAGACTGCCTTTTCAAGGGGACGCAGCAAGTGACCTAGTAAGAAGATGTCTGAAGACAGCGATCACTAGCGCTTTCCCCGCGGCGAACTTACGTGTATGTTTCATTAACTCTCCCCTCCTACGCTTGGGAGGTAAAGATCGACTCCCGTTGCAGGCCACATCGATATGTATTTACTCATTCACTAGCTCCTGTGGAGCGGGATACACTGGCCGTACAAAGAGGCACTTGGAAAGGAGAGTACGTGAACACATACCGGCCTGGCTGGGCAAAGGTGAAAAGAAATCGAGCTCGAGTTCTATTCTCGCACATCTTGTCGATAGGAATCACCGAGTCGATGCCAAAGAAGCCTTTCAGGTTGTCTACCGGACACCAGTAAGCTTCTCCAGAGGCCTACGCTAACGGGTGCTAGTTACGGCCGAGGCAATGGCTATACGGTTAGCCAATCCAGTGCTATACTGTCAGAAGACTCTGACACAAGCGCTCTGTCTTCCGTGGCCAACGCCGACCCCAACGTCCTGATGGCAGGGTGTGTGCACAACGTACCCGACGTACTAACATTACTCGCAGCCTATGTCCCACTCTCCCTCGCGCCCTTGACCCAATGACCACGACACGCCGACCACGCCATAGCACGCTTTGTCATACGAGTGGCGTGGGAACGATGGATGTTGATTGTCCCCGAATCACTTATAAGCCATGTAACTTCGCATAAATTAAACTTCTATGTACCCGCTTTGGCCTGATGAAGAGTTACCGAAAACACGTGTTTGCCAAATTGACTTTTCAATTCATATTGACCCAACTGTGAGAAACTGGGCGCTTCGGTGGGATGCAAAAACACAACGGTAAGGGGAAAGCTTTAGTAGGGCCAACGCTCTAACCACCTGAGCTACGAGGCCCCGAGAATATGACGTAGATAGTATTGTTAGTCTCAATGGTTTGACAGCAAAATTAGACTGGATTGTTTGGCGATGTGTTAGGAGGCCGAAAATGGGATGACGTGGTCAGTACTGAGGAATACCCTTTCTAAGTACAGAGGCACGGCAGCAGATTACGAGCATGTGGGGAGTTGCCGGTCAACGACGTATGGCAGGAGGGACTTGCCTAACAGTTTATGCAGCCAAAACCGGCCTAAATTATTTTCGGTTACACATGAACGTTAAGAGCCGTGGGAAAGCGAGATCTTACTGTTAATCAAGCTGTTGGCTACCCGACTCATTCACTGGCGGCGGATAGCGGAGCAACCTCAATAGGTCTGATGCGAAATGAACGGGCGTTCAGGTCTGAAGAATAGTAGTCAAAGACCGTGCAGTGGCGTCATGTGCAGGGAATCGACCAGAGTCGGTCATCTATAAAAAGCTTACAAGTCCAGGCGGCATTGTGACATGGCGACCTGCCACTACACGCGAGAGGGCCTGGTAACTGATGTAAGGCCTGAAAGTCAATGCGAGAGATACGACGGAAATACTGAGCCTCAACCACAACCACACAATCAGCTGCAGTTGCCGAAGAGTGCTCTAGTGGCATCTTTGGACAAACGGACGCTCGGAACTAATTGCTACCCAGGGAACTTCGTAAATCCAATGCATGCAAAAGAGGGAGCGAGAGAAAAATCATGGCGGACCTACATTTTGGTGAGGGTGCCTTGACGTCAAAAACGACTCGGAAGCCATCAGCCGAATTCATATGCCACTCCGCGTTGCGGTTACACACTGGTCAGAGGCAGCCAATTGGCAAAAGGCAGTGGGACCGAACAACCCGAAAGAATGGCAAAAAACCTGGGATCGCTGTCGATTTGGTGATACTACTGGTAAGCCAACTAGACCGGGGAGCGAGAAGGGTTACCCCTGGACGCGGATGGCCGGACAAGCATCGGTAATAAGAGAGAAAATTGCTACAATTCTCCAATTGCAGCTCATCCAATGAGACTGTGACTCTCGCGATGCGATAATCGCGGGAATAGTGAGGTACTTGAGTTATGGCACTTCGACCGACAGCCGATCAACCCTACCTACCTAGTCAATTCTAAGAGTTCTTCTGCGTAGAGGAATAGGTCACGCGGTATAACGAAGATGGCGAGCAAAGTTTATGATGAAATGTCAGGTCAGTCATAAACACCGCACCGTTGATGTTAACGTTAACAGAGTCTCGGCCATTAGCAACTCGGATGTGAGTGGTCAAGGAGGTTCCGGCTTTTTAAGCAGACGTCGAGTTAACTGTTGGTATCATATTAGAAAGTGTGCCTTGAGAAAGTGACAACATGAGTTAAAGAACTTTAAGCCATATTTCGAACCGCAGGTACTTATTAATGGAAAAAATGACCTGGTCGAGGCCAAGGGGTCAGAAATACTCAACTATCAAAGTAAGCGAAAAGAAGCTATAAGGACCACATGACAAACAAGATGTCGATTAAAGTGCATCGCGCCAGAAACGAACCATCGCGTGCGCTAGAAAGGAGAAGGGCAATGCGCCGGACCGAAGAGTAGTGCAGTATTTGCAGCCCCGAAACCTAACCAATTGAGGAATTAAAACAACCACACGGGCGGACACAGTGAATGGAAGAATCCATCAGTGAACGCAAATAAGTAGCTATAATATTCGAAAAGCATTCTTCCTGTATGTATGAAAAAGTAGTTTATCGCGTATACATGTAAACGTGGCTACATAACGATTATTCACTACTATGTCATGACTCAAAACCTTAAGCTCCCACAAAATAGCAGGGTATCGTTCGCCATAGAAGTGGTAAATTAATATATTTAGGTAGCCCCGGGAACAATTTGCAGAGAACTTTACTTGGGAGAATTGAAGGTGCGGAAACACGCAGAACAAACTGCCACTACTATAAACGTACACCGGTGGATATTTAAAGAATTATTTATTTATTTATTTATTTATTTTTATTTACTCATAAAGTTGAAAAAAGGCATGTCCAACAAAACCTTATAGCAAACAGGGGACGCATGCGAAAAGTCACGGGCAAATAAAAGACACAGAACAATAATCCATTTTATTCACATACACTGTGAGACTCCAGAAATACGTCATAGAAACGTTGAGCTTTCTGAGAGGTAAGTGTGTAAATTCGACGCCAGTTGCTTATATTATGGCAACAGGGTCCAAGATGAAGGGCCCTCCTTAATCATGTCGTCCCATGGTAAGTGCACCGGCTATCTTCCACCCAATCCATGCAATGGGCCGATGACACACGGAGCGAATTTCACTACCCTAACTTGTGGGATCAGGTGAATCTTAGCAAGCTTGTAGGGCTGGCAACAAAGGTGAAGGACACGGCTGTTGTCCTGCTTGGCTGTTGCAGTATTTTGTTAGTTGTGATCGGACCTGCGTATTGCAGTCTCAAGGCGGGTGGGGGCTTTAAATGACTTCAAAACAGTGGTGTACGCAATTTTTGCAAGCGAGTGAGCAAAGATCGTCGTTTGAAACGGGACTTATTCAAAAGTAAACTGCCACAATGTTGGCGTGGAGACCACGCGTGTGTGCCGCACTCAGCATGCGTTCGAACAGAAACTGAATAGAGGACACAAAATATTTGACCGATTGGATTTTGAAGGCCCCTCTGGATGAGAGGGAACTCTTTGCACGACCCCGTGGACGTCTACAGGTGTAGATTTTTCGCCACAAACTGCAGTTACATAAGCGACTTTCTCCTCTGCTGAGGAGTTAGCACTTGGAACGAGCTTGTCTTCTAAAACTGCGTACAAACACGGTTAGTAATATCACTTATTGATCCTGCTACTAACACGTGTTGAGTTCTCCTAGGTGGAAGCATGCGCGTGCTGCGTTTCTAAAAACGTTATATTATACACAACTAAGAGGTGTTTGTTCGGATATACGTCGAGCGAGTGTTCTATAGAAATACGTAAAATCAGTTAGCACAGCACGAAGTACTGGGAGTCCCACTACGGACACACAGTTTTGCTCGTTGGGCTCTCAACATGTGCACAAAACAGCCTAATATAAGTGTTTTACCAATCCCAACCATCATCCGACAGATCATTGCATTTAAGTTTTTGCACAATTCACTAGTGGGTATCTGTTAGAAAAGCATTGTTTGGGCCAGAGATAGGAGGTTAGACATCTCCAGGCAGATCGGACATCGTAATGTGGGTTTGTGGCGTAGGAAAAGTTTTGTTAAGCTACATTCTCTGCTGTGGAATCTCTGTTTATAAAGGCTCAAAATCGTATGCCTAACGAAACTTCTGTAATGAAAGTCCGATGATTTGTTTATGTTGTTGGAAATGATTCCCATAACTGAGTACTTTCTTAAGACAATATATGAAAACGTCATTACGCAGTCCTCACAGCCATAAATAAAAGGAGACCTGCTAGCAAGCTTAGCTTATTGATGGAAAATAAACTTAAACAACTGGTGGACATGACTGACCTCGTTTTTTATTATAACAACGAAAATACCGTTGGCAAGTAATGCGGAGTCTCAGGTTTAAGCACTTTCAAGAAATCTTGTTCTAGTCACCTTAAAAAATTCAGGTGGATTTTAATATCCGAAAGCCCACCGATGTTCCTCTAACGTGTTGATCTAGATGATTACCAAACTTGCAGTAGGTTTTGTCTTCCTTTTTGGTTTGGGGGGAGGAAATCTAAGCACTTTGATGTTAGCACGGCCTTTGACAAGGTGTCCGTTTGTGCACAACCGTTCAAAATCCTCAGACCCGAGGTGAGTTGAAATTCATTTATAACTGAAATATTTGACATATTTCTGCGTCGATTTTGCGTCGATTTTTATTAGCTGTCGAAAATAACACATAAATCCTTTACACTCTCTCCATTTAACCATGTTACGTTTTCTGTCGACAAAGTTGATCTTTCGGCCATCGTCCGTTTACAGAAGTTTATCGAGAAACATGAACATATTTTTACGATTCTCGATTCACTAACAGACTCAAATAGATTCACAAACAGCCTAACGAGCCTATCACAAATTGAATCGATTATACACTTAGTTTCGTCTGAAGTCGCGGATAGATCGAAACGCAGGCTCAATTTAATTATCCGTAATATACCCCACACCGTTAATCCGTCACCATCAATTCAAAATTTTATACATTCGTGTGGCTTAAACATCAGAAAAGCTAACACTCAAAGACTTCACTACAGCAAAAATAAACCCGTCTTAGTAACCTTCTACTCACAGGCGGAAGCTGAGATTGTCCTACAAAATCCCGAAGTAAACAGAAATCCGCGGAACCTAAACTATTTTACAGGTCCAGATTTGACACCTATGCAAAGACGTAAACTTCGGGAAAAAGACACCGGCTACAAATACGATAATCAGCACTCCGGTCCCTCAAATGAACCTCTAGCCACTACTTCTACTTCTAGCACTAATAAAAACAAATACACAGGCCAGCGTAAACCAAATGATAAACCCACAGCCCCCGCAGAAGGACCTTCAGCAAGTACTTCTGACTCTAGTTCTCACGATAAAAAACGCGCAACTGCAAAAGTATTTAGGACTGCTGGTCAGAAACAAACGAGGGAGGCACAACAAAATAACAACGTTCAACCAGAACAGAACGATGATGCAGACCCCGGACCGAGTCATGTGACACCCTTAGATAGCAGTATAAGTTTTACTACACCCCCCAAGACCGATCAATCAGTACTAGAAAATGACTGCCAAACAAGACACATAAACCAAAAGGCCTTACTAAGCACACCAGCACAACCAAAACGCCCTAGGTATGTTGACATAACAAATGGAAGCCCACCAAACTCTAACAAAAAACAAACAAGCTTCTATAACGGCATTTCGACTCCCCAAAATCCACCTGCATGGCATAGGAATAAGCCAAACCACTCTTTACCACCTAATTACAACCCTACAAATTACTTTGGCTTTTACACCTCCCCAACTGAAACTCCATTTACGTACAATTACCACCTAGTTAACCCACCTCCCCATATGTACCCTCAGTCCATACACACTAGCCCATGCACTCCCACTACGCCATACGCATCACCATATCCTCCAAGAACCACACACCTACCTCCATTTAGTCCATCACTCACTCAAAGTACCCCCAGAAATCCTTTTTTTCACCACAGCCCACCTATTCCATATCCGACATCCTAAAGATAGCTCTTATAAATTCGAGATCGATTGTCAACAAAATATCCCAACTTAGAACTTTTGTTAAAACATATAACCCCGATGTAATTTGCATTACAGAAACATGGGCAAATGCACTTATATCGAATGCTTCGCTATATGTCCCAAATTATAATTTATATCGACAGGACCGTGTTAATAAACGAGGCGGTAGTTGTCTTATCTACATCAAAACTAGCATTGAGCACAGTGGTATTGATGTCCCAACCGAAAATTTTGCTGGAGAAGCGTGTTTGCCACAATAAAATCTCATGTCCAGGAAAACATACTAGTCGGATGCCTCTACTCCCCTCCAGAATGTAGTAGTGATTACACAAGCCTCAACCTCTTAATAAGCAATATAACTAACATAAAAACTGAATATAAGATAACTGCAGGCGACCTAAACCGCCCAGAAATAAACTGGGTCGAATTATCAGCACCTACCAGGCACGAAGAATTCTTGTCTTCAATTATCTTTAATAACTGGACACAAATAGTTGACAAACCCACCCGAGGAAACAATATACTAGACGTTATTTTCACTAACGATATCTGGCCCCTCTATATGCACTACGACTGCGCAACCTTTGAAAGTGACCACAAAGCAATAATATCAACACTCCCCTTAAACGCAAAACTAGCACCCCATTTTAGTAACACCCGCCTTAGCCCAAAAAAACTTGACGAGGACTCCATGAACAACTATATTAGATCATTGGACTGGAGCCCATATCTTCTTACAACATCCACTATGGAAGCAATTAACCTATTATACTCCGTCCTACTTGTAATTCGTGATAACTTGATAGACGAAAGACTCCCGTATAAGAAATCACCAATCCCGAACTTCCTTTCAACTGAACTAAAAAAGCTACAAAAACAGCTACGCGACCCCTCCGTGAGTTATTTTTCCACACTTCGACGAATTAGGGAAATTCACGACCTAGTCGCGAAAATAGAAACACAAAAGACCATAGCAGCAGAACATGGGCACTAGAATCCCCCGAACGAACAGCTCAGATGTTTCAGAAACTAATGAGTAATCATCGAAAGTCAGGACCACGAACTATTATTAATGAATTAGGGCATGTTATAACCAATGGTAAACAAATAGTAAACTTATTCAACAGATACTTATCAGCTTACTACACAGTCGAAGAGGGAACCATCCCCCAACCGATCGAGATGACTGAACGCATCCCTGGGTGAGATCCATTTTAATGAAGAAACTGTTAAAGTAGCCATCAAACAACTATCAAACACCAAATCCTATGGGACAGACATAATCCCACCATGTATTCTGAAG